CGCCTGGCTCCAGCAGGGTTGGGGCAGCTGCAGACGCCCCTCTGCAAGGGGCAAGCAGGGCTCAGCACTGCCCCATCCCTGCCGGGGCAGCCCCCCCCAGCTTGGGCACCGCTGCCATGGTTGCCCGTCCCCAGTGCCAGCAGGAGGGACGGCTGCAGAGGCTGAGCCGGGGCTGCCACTGGGTCACAGCGGGCTCAGGACACCCCAAGGTCCTGGTCCAGCTAAGCATGGTGAAGTCAAGCCTAGTGCCCCCCCAGCACCCGCTGAGCTGTAGACGTTATCCCCCCTCGCAAGGCAGGACGCTCCCTCCAGGTTTTGAGTAGCAGAAGGGAAGTCGCTGTGCTCTGGGAGCGTGCTAAAAATCCCGAGTTACCCAGACTATTAATTGGCTAATATTAACAATTAAGCCATGAGGAAGCCAAGGGGGGACCAAGCTCAAGGCTCCTCACCCGCTGCGCCCCCATGGCCTCCCCCTGAGGCCAGAAAACACAGGTGCCCCACGGGGTTTTGTCACAGGCCAGCCCCGGTGAGATGGCGGGTGCAGCCGGGCTGGTGGCCATCCCCCAGTGCCAGTGGGCAGCAGGGCCACGGCTGCCCGCCAGCCCGTGTGCTCGCTTGCCAGGCGTGGGGACAGCTATTTATAGCCCCTGCACAGGACATTAATGCCATGCAGGGGCTGCTATAAAAAGCAAGTCTCCGAAAAGGTCTTGGAGCAGATGCTGGTGTGAGGTCTCCACGCTGAGGCCTGGAAATGTCCCAGCTTGAGTCACACTCTGATTCACCCAGGTCCTGTTGCACGCCCGGCCAGCCAACCCACCTCTTGTGGAGAGGGGATGAGGCTTCTCTGGGGAAAGCAGCATCTGTCCATCGCCAAGAGCCCTCGAGCCCTCAAACCCATCAGGGGATTTCCTCTGCCCAGCAGAGCTGGACCTGGCTGGAGCGCTCCCAGCTCTGCCCATGAGCAAGGAGGACGATGAAGTCACCCAGGAAACCATCACGCTCCCGGCAGTGCAGCACTGGCAGAAAGGCAGGCAAAACTTTGGCCGACACGTTTGTTTCCCAGATGACGGGTTGTACATCAGCACTGGTTCATCACCTCCCCAGCCCGTGCTGCCTTTGAAGCTCACTGTGTCAGAGAGCCCAGCGTGTCCCCGTCAGGCTGCTGGAGACCAGGATGGTGGGCTGGGAGTCGTGCTCTCAGAGACACAGCGGGAACGGTCCTCGCTGATCTCTGAGCTCCAGCCCACACGGCTGCGGTTGCTAAACACACATTAACAAAACAAGGGAGGCAGTTCTGACGGCCAGCCAGGCAGGCAACGCTGGGGTGAAAGAGCAGAGACGTTTCGGCTCCCCCATCGCCCCCTTGTATTCCCTTCAGGAGAGCTACCCAGTGCCACCCTGCATGCTGTGGCAGGAGGACAAGTGTCGCGCTGGCAGCCTGCAGGAGACAAGGGTCCGAAAGGGGTGGCCAGCCCGAGGACTGCTCCCGCGTCCCGGTGACCTGCCCCTGTCCAGGGGCAGGAAGAGCACGGCCCCGTCCCTCATCTCTGGGGAGGACAATTAAACGGCCAGCTCAGAGCACGCATGTCCACACCAGCACATTATTTTGTGCCCAGCACAGCTTAGGAAGAAGGGTGGTGTGCGACGGCAGCCCTGCCGCAGAGGGCATGGCACAACCCGGCTGCGATACTGGGAACCGAGGCAAAGCCCAGGGGCTGGTATAACCAAACCTGAGCAGGAGGCCTAGAAGACGGTTCTCCAGAGCTGTAAGCTGACCTGACCCAGACGCGCTGTTCCCTCGACCCCGTGCTCTGCGGCTCCATTTTCCCTCCGGAAGGCAGCGATATCACGTCTGATGGGGGCTCTGGGGAAGGCAGAGGCGAGACATCCCAGAGTCCCACACGAATACAGGGCGCCTGCAAAGGACTCGCTGCAAGCCAGTTTTACAAACACAAGTACATAATGTTTATTTTTAAGTTTCCAATTTATTACAAGTACAGCCCTTAGCAGAACCCCCTCCCCCCCAAATGACATTTATTTTTAAAAAACGTACAGTTCCAAAGGTTTCACCGTGTAGGACCTGCAGAAAACGTTCTCTATGAACAGGACAAAACAAAGCCTGTGAAGGGGACTTGCGAAATACAAATGTCAGTGCTATTCTGTGGGGCAGGGAGCTGAGGCTGGGCAGAGGGGAAGAGGGAAGTGGCTGGAAACCTAGTCTCTGCAGCCATCGACAGTCCAGAACTGAAACGAATACCTGTTAAAAAAAAACCTAAAAAGTTCACAAAACTAGGCTGCAGTTTTTAATCGATGATTCT